TCGGTACTCTGGTGTCATCAAGACGAGCCAGGTGCCCAAGCCACTCCAACCGTCTCTGCTGCACCATGCGTGACAATGGTGTGGGATCACCCCACTGTGCTCGCAGTTCTTGTGAAGAGATGCGCTGTTCCCACTGTCGGCCTCGCGATACGCCAAGGATGGAGCGAATGTTGGCATGGTGAAACCGGTCCAATCTATCTAAATCTGCCTTCAACGGCGTCCAGCATTCTGAACCATACAGAACCGTTGACAGTACGCAAACGACATACAGGTGGCACCTGGTAGGGAGGTTCAGGCTCCGGTCATGTAGGATGCGCCGAAGACCACCAAAGGCCCCTGCACCCTTTGCTAGACGGCTCCGAATGTCCGCTTGCGACCGCGAGTCTGGAGTGATGGTGGAACCAAGATAGGGGAATGAGGTGACTGCTTCAACCCTATCACTGCCAATGACCAAATCAGAGCAATCAGCAGGGCAAACTCCGAAACCTGCAACGAGAAGCTTGGTCTTGGTCATGCTCACTGTGAGACCCAAGCTGGATGCGACCTCACAAAAGGCACACAGGGATTGATCGGCTGCGTTGCGAGTTGTAGCGAGCAGTACAGCATCATCCGCAAACTCGAAGTCATCAGCATGGCCGGACTCGGAGTGGGGACGACGCCTAGTGACACGAGGGAACAGCTGGCCATCAATTGTGAAGCTGAAGTCCACACCAGACTCTATTCCACGCTCAACGAGAAGGGATCGCCAACGCTCAATAACTAAGCCGAAGTACAAGTTAAACAGTACAGGTGCCATCACGCACCCTTGGCGCAGCCCATTCTTGACAGATATCGGATCCGTGCAACCACCGGCAACGCGAACGCAAGCTGACATGTCTGTATGGAATGATTTGATGATGGCCACAGTCGGGGGCGGCACACCCAGCCGCAGCAATGCCTGCCAAAGAGCTTCGCGAGGGACAGAGTCGTATGCTTTGCGGAGATCCACAAATACGCAGAAGAGCTTCGATCGATGTTCGTACGACTTCTCGACAAGTTGACGGACAGAGAAGATGGCGTCCGCACAACCACGGTGCCGCCGAAACCCGCATTGGGATTCAGGCAGTTCCGCCTCAGCAATACCTTGCAATCGGTTTTGCATGATCCGAGCAGCCAACTTGCCGACAACCTCCAGCAATGCGATCCCTCGCCAATTATCGCAGCGAGAGAGGTCGCCCTTCTTTGGAATCGGTACCAGCAGTGCATCGCGCCAGTCCTGGGGCACGCAACCCCCCGACCAGACAGATTGGAGTAGGTCCAGGAGGAGTGGATGGAGGACAGGCACACCAACCTTCAGCAGCTCCGGCACAATCTGTGACATACCACCAGCTTTGCCATTCTGTAGGTGTCTAATTGCCTGAGTCAGCTCATCCTCCGATGGTGGCAGTGAGAGGGAGTCCTTGACCTCACGCTGAGGGATAAGTTGGAAGACATGCGGATCGTACACACTGCAGACATTCAAGACACCCGAGAAATGCCCATGCCATGTGCCCTGCTGCTCCTGAACAGATTCGCAGAGAACTCCATCGGCATTGCGGATGGATTGGACAGACAGGGGTTGCAAGCCCCCAAAGCAGCGTTGCATGTCGCGAATGGCAGACCAGACAGCTTTGCCACTGAAACGTCCACGGTGCACCACCGCCGCTTTGTCCATCAACCAAGTTGTTTTTGCCTTCCGGATACCAGTACGAGCCCTGCCACGCGCTTCTTTGAACGCCCGGTGATCAGAGTCCCTGCCGCTTCTCAGCCATTGGCTATACAGGGTATTACGAGACTCCAGTAGAGGCTCCAATACAAGGGCATTGTCACGGAACCAATCTGGCATCCGCCGCTTGTCCCGACAAACCACCTGCTCCGCCGCGTCAACAACAGCCGACTTCACGGTACTCCACTTACAGTCCACAGATGAGGCGCGGTCATACGTGGCTAAACGAGATTCAAGACTAGCACAGTACTCAGCACGTACAGTAGCCACACGCTCAGCCTCCTCTTCACTCATGAATGGCTTCCGATTGAATTGGTGAACAGCAAACTTCCGCGGCCTGGAACGTGCATCATGATGGTACCGTTGCTGCACAACGTCAGGTAGCCGGTATTTCATGCGGACAAGACGGTGGTCTGTGCTACACTCTGCAGTGCGCATCACTTGACAGTCCATGCAACGTTTACGGTGTTGTTGGCGTACGAACACATAATCTATACAATGCCACTTCTGTGATCCAGGGTGTTGCCAGGTGTACATGTGAATGCGTTTCTTGGGAAACAGTGTGTTACATACTGCGAGCTGTTGACACGCCAAGAATGTGAGTAGTCGATGACCAGCATCGTTCACATCACCAACACCATGTGATCCATGCACTCCCTGCCACATCTCTAGTTGCTGTGGGCCAAAACCAACACGAGCGTTGAAATCCCCCAGGACGATGACGTCATCAGCAGAGTTGACATCGCTGAGAGCAGACTGGAACTGAGCAAAGAACTCTTCCTTGTCAGCATGGGGGGATCGAAACGTAGGAGCGTAACATGAAATCACTGACATCCACCCGTGCTCAAATCTCAACCTGGCCGTCACGATGCGCGATGAGACGGGCCTCCACTGGCAGCCTGCACGTTCAAATGCCTGCTTGGCCCTCCGACGCAGAACCAGCGCAACACCCTCGCCACGACGAAAATTTTCGTCAGGTACGGGGCGACCAGAGGCGAGTACAGTCGCATCGCCGATGTTGAAAGAGTCTCTCCCAAACCATTTGGTTTCCTGCAGGCCAGCCACTTCCACGTCAAACCTGGACAGCTCACGGATAACCAAGTCGATCTTTCTGTCCTCCACGACGGGCACAAAATTCAAATTTTCAAAATTCACTCGTCTCTTTGCCGTCTCGACCGGTCCGTCATTGTTGACCAGAGTGCGGACGTTCCAAGATCCAAAGGCCAATGTTCGCAGCCTTCCTCTCCTCCGCCTTCCTGACAGTACTCTCTGAGCTTCGCAGTTTGAAACCATTCGGGGGTCAGCTACACCACCGCGAATGGAGAGACGAGGACGACAACGGTCGTGACAGAAAAGAAACTGCCCTGGCGACCGCGCCGCGGAACCCTCGCCCCAGGAAATTTAGGAACACGCCAGGGGCGACTCTGGTGAACCCAGAGCCACCCCGTGGCCTAAGACTAGTAAGAAGAACGACGGAAAAACTTAGATAAATCGGAGCTACAAAAAAGTGCAACCGTCCCCTTCAAACACAAGGGGCACACACACATACACACACACACACACACACACACACACACACACACACACACACACACATACACACATACACACACACACACACACACACACACACACATACACACCCACACACATACACACACACACACACACACACACACACACATACACACACACACACACACACATACACACATACACACACACACACACACACACATATACACACACACACACATACACACACACACACATACACACATACACACACACACACACACACACACACACACACACACACACACATACACATACACACACACACACACACACACACACACACACACACATACACACATACACACACACACACATACTTGAAGTACACATCAAGTACAACTTTAAAACAGCCGACAGACACATGCAAGTACACACGCCAAGCACTACTAGTCAGAAGAGTAATACGGAGGACAGAGACCGTGAACAAGGATGGATGACTGTCTTGAGGCATGTTTTCGTTAGTACTTCACGTACAGTTGCGCTCACTGAAATCCGACCCGAAGTGCAAAAACAGACGCAGTCCTCCCAAGAGTGATTTACAATGTTTCTGTTGAGTGCTATTAAACGCATCACACGTTCTCCCTTGCACACTAGTTTGTACAGGATCAGACGCGGATTTGTCCACCGCAGATCCAAGGTACGTCTGATAGCACGGATACGGCACAATCATAAAAATGGCGTCAACTTGAATTCTGCCGGAACAGCACGGATAGTGCAGTCTTGGCATACTGTTAGGGATTACGTACTTTTGACGGCATTAATAGTGGAGTTACATATCCTTGGGGTCATGTACTCCTGGACGGGGAGTCTTGGTGCAGGGCAGGGAGTAGTAAAATACCTACTCCCTGGTACGGACCACCCCGGCACAAAGACAATACCCAGTATGATAAAACCCACCTTCCACATTTTAAACGAAATTCCATCCCAGCAGCTCAGCTTCGACCTTGGCAGTGGCCGGGTCCTGTACGTACACAAAGCACACATGCGGACACCATATTGTCACACAGTCAGACCTGTGCCTAAGCCGACCACTTGTGGTCATAGTACGTCCCCCAGCGTACTATGACCACAAGTGGAGTCCAGATAAGATGGGAGAAGGGGGGGGGGGGGGGGGGGGAGGTACTACTTTCGTGGACATGGAAATCAGGTCAAATTACTGAGGCCGGCGCCCTCAGTGCGTACAAAACGTTGCATGCAGTGCAAATGTTGATCCGATGCGACCAGCGCGATGCAGCGCATGTGTGTACCGCTTACCCACGGCTGAATGGCCAGCGCCCTGGGGCCGCTAGACGTGCGACCGGATTTCAATGTCCACGACAGTACATGTACAGAAGAGAAGGCATGCAGAGGAGGAGAGGGAAGGGCAGCACACACATATGACAGCACACACACCCACACTAGCTTACAAATCGAGCTGAGTACGCCGTGAGTGCAGGTTTCCCAGCATGGCGGCGCCGGCGTGATTGGCGTAGACCGGTGACGCGTTGTTAGACATGGAATGGACGGCGGGATAGTCGCCCTGGGCTTGTAGGTCACGCGGCGATACGTACGTTCCTGTGCTGTCCCACCGCTTCAGGTACGCCGCTGCACGGATCACGCCATATACACACAACAGACATATCTACGTTAGGGGTGAAAGGATTATGTCGTTTAGTCAATAAATTAGTCGAAAAAATCTAGTCGATTACGATTTTTCAAATCGCTACAGCATTTTCGTACGACATACTATACGGTACGACGAAATATCCGGCAGGTGCAGTGTGTCTACATGACTTTAGCTGCACGCAGCACATGTACCAGAGTACGAGTCGATGCGCACGTGCACGGAGGTGTCAATCAACGCGTGCAGCACGCACAGCGAGTTGCTCATGCTCTGGATACACACTACACGTGTACCCGGTAGGTCTACCTGATGTACTTTAGATCTATTGTGTGACACGCGGCTCTTTTCTCTGCACCGTGCACTGATTCGTACTCGCGAACTTTCGTTCCGGTTGCTTCACGGAACTCACTGTTCTGGACAAGTAGCCCTCAGAATCAGTTTGTGCCTGTGCGACGGTCGATGTTTCCATTATTTTTGTTCTCTTTGAAGTTCCAAAATTGATTGTAGTTGATGCAAAATGGTGAGTTTTGTCGTCAGTGGTGCTTAATCGATAATACTCGATAAGTAATCGATAAGTTTTGGATTAACCGCTAAGGAATATCCCTTAATCGTTTCACCCCTAGTCCACGTACACATAATGGCTACCGAGGGTAGCAGTGAGCCGGCTGTGAGAGTCCATGGAGGAGAAGAGAGGAAGAGTTCTTTACGTACACATAATGGCTACCGAGGGTAGCAGTGAGTCGGCTGTGAGAGCGCATGGAGGAGAAGAGAGGAAGAGTTCTTTACGTACACATAATGGCTACCGAGGGTAGCAGTGAGTCGGCTGTGAGAGCGCATGGAGGAGAAGAGAGGAAGAGTTCTTTACGTACACATAATGGCTACCGAGGGTAGCAGTGAGCCGGCTGTGAGAGTCCATGGAGGAGAAGAGAGGAAGAGTTCTTTACGTACACATAATGGCTACCGAGGGTAGAAGTGAGTCGGCTGTGAGAGTCCATGGAGGAGAAGAGAGGAAGAGTTCTTTACGTACACATAATGGCTACCGAGGGTAGCAGTGAGCCGGCTGTGAGAGTCCATGGAGGAGAAGAGAGGAAGAGTTCTTTACGTACACATAATGGCTACCGAGGGTAGCAGTGAGTCGGCTGTGAGAGCGCATGGAGGAGAAGAGAGGAAGAGTTCTTTACGTACACATAATGGCTACCGAGGGTAGCAGTGAGTCGGCTGTGAGAGCGCATGGAGGAGAAGAGAGGAAGAGTTCTTTACGTACACATAATGGCTACCGAGGGTAGCAGTGAGCCGGCTGTGAGAGTCCATGGAGGAGAAGAGAGGAAGAGTTCTTTACGTACACATAATGGCTACCGAGGGTAGAAGTGAGTCGGCTGTGAGAGTCCATGGAGGAGAAGAGAGGAAGAGTTCTTTACGTACACATAATGGCTACCGAGGGTAGCAGTGAGCCGGCTGTGAGAGTCCATGGAGGAGAAGAGAGGAAGAGTTCTTTACGTACACATAATGGCTACCGAGGGTAGCAGTGAGTCGGCTGTGAGAGCGCATGGAGGAGAAGAGAGGAAGAGTTCTTTACGTACACATAATGGCTACCGAGGGTAGCAGTGAGTCGGCTGTGAGAGTCCATGGAGGAGAAAAGAGGAAGAGTTCTTTACGTACCCATAATGGCTACCGAGGGTAGCAGTGAGCCGGCTGTGAGAGTCCATGGAGGAGAAGAGAGGAAGAGTTCTTTACGTACACATAATGGCTACCGAGGGTAGCAGTGAGTCGGCTGTGAGAGTCCATGGAGGAGAAGAGAGGAAGAGTTCTTTACGTACACATAATGGCTACCGAGGGTAGCAGTGAGTCGGCTGTGAGAGTCCATGGAGGAGAAAAGAGGAAGAGTTCTTTACGTACACATAATGGCTACCGAGGGTAGCAGTGAGCCGGCTGTGAGAGTTCATGGAGGAGAAGAGAGGAAGAGTTCTTTACGTACACATAATGGCTACCGAGGGTAGCAGTGAGTCGGCTGTGAGAGTCCATGGAGGAGAAGAGAGGAAGAGTTCTTTACGTACACATAATGGCCACCGAGGGTAGCAGTGAGTCGGCTGTGAGAGTCCATGGAGGAGAAGAGAGGACGAGTTCTTTACGTACACATAATGGCTACCGAGGGTAGCAGTGAGCCGGCTGTGAGAGTCCATGGAGGAGAAGAGAGGAAGAGTTCTTTACGTACACATAATGGCTACCGAGGGTAGCAGTGAGTCGGCTGTGAGAGTCCATGGAGGAGAAGAGAGGAAGAGTTCTTTATGTACACATAATGGCTACCGAGGGTAGCAGTGAGTCGGCTGTGAGAGCGCATGGGGGAGAAGAGAGGAAGAGTTCTTTACGTACACATAATGGCTACCGAGGGTAGCAGTGAGTCGGCTGTGAGAGCGCATGGAGGAGAAGAGAGGAAGAGTTTTTACGTACACATAATGGCTACCGAGGGTAGCAGTGAGTCGGCTGTGAGAGCGCATGGAGGAGAAGAGAGGAAGAGTTCTTTACGTACACATAATGGCTACCGAGGGTAGCAGTGAGTCGGCTGTGAGAGCGCATGGAGGAGAAGAGAGGAAGAGTTCTTTACGTCCACATAATGGCTACCGAGGGTAGCAGTGAGTCGGCTGTGAGAGTCCATGGAGGAGAAAAGAGGAAGAGTTCTTTACGTACACATAATGGCTACCGAGGGTAGCAGTGAGCCGGCTGTGAGAGCCCATGGAGGAGAAGAGAGGAAGAGTTCTTTACGTACACATAATGGCTACCGAGGGTAGCAGTGAGCCGGCTGTGAGAGTCCATGGAGGAGAAGAGAGGAAGAGTTCTTTACGTACACATAATGGCTACCGAGGGTAGCAGTGAGTCCGCTGTGAGAGTCCATGGAGGAGAAAAGAGGAAGAGTTCTTTACGTACACATACATGTACTTAAAAAAATGTGTATCACACACAGGGGTAGTGTTGTGTTTGCAAGTGAGTTATAATATATCTACTACACAGGTGGCTACTGTATTGCGCATGTTTTTATGCAAGTGCACATGCCTATGTAGAAAGGCAGAGAACAACAACAACAGCAACAACAACAACAACAGCAACAACAACAACAACAACAACAACAACAACAACAACAACAACAACAACAACAACAACAACAACAACAACAACAACAACAACAACAACAACAACAACAACAACAACAACAACAACAACAACAACAACAACAACAACAACAACAACAACAACAACAACAACAACAACAACAACAACAACAACAACAACAACAACAACAACAACAACAACAACAACAACAACAACAACAACAACAACAACAACAACAACAACAACAACAACAACAACAACAACAACAACAACAACAACAACAACAACAACAACAACAACAACAACAACAACAACAACAACAACCACTGGCTATCGTGAGAATAAAGATTTGAAACAACAACAACAACAACAACAACAACAACAACAACAACAACAACAACAACAACAACAACAACAACAACAACAACAACAACAACAACAACAACAACAACAACAACAACTTGACAGGACGCAGACAGCGGGTGCAGGTTGAAGGCACAACATCCGCCTTCATACCAATACCAGCAGGAGTGCCCCAGGGCTCGGTCCTGGGACCACTTCCGTTCCTGGCGTACACCATTAACCTGCCCACTGCCTGTGAAAATGCTACAACCTCGTGTAGCCAGTTCGCGGACGACACCGCACTAATTGCCATTGCAGGCAGCTACATTGAGTGTGAGGCTGCGCTACAAAGAAGCGTCGATGCCGCAGCAGAATGGCTAGAGCGCTGGCACCTGCTAGTCAATAAAACGAAAACCGTCATCCTCCCGTTCTACCATGCTAACCGACCCCCACCACGACTACCCGGAATAAAACTTGGCCAAACCCTATTAGAAACAGTAACACAACATCGTCACCTCGGCATCATCTTTCAGCACGACCTAAGATGGTCAGCCCACCTCGACTTTGTGCTGAAGAAAGCCGTAAAATATTTTAATATTCTCTTTAGGCTCAAATCAACTCTACACACTAAATCACTCTCTCTCATTTACAAAACGTATATCCTGCCTATAATTGAATATGCATGCATTGCTGTCACCCCGCTCTCAATCGCAGCCCTTGACCGTCTTGAGCGAATCCAGCGCAAGGCGGCCAGAATCTGCCTCCGTCTCCCCCTTTACACTCCTCTGGATCATTCAACACTGCTCCATCGGCTCAAATGGCCGACAATGTTCTCTCGCCGCAAAGTGAAGCTCACCCTTCTTGCTCACTCCATAAAATACCAATATGCCCCACAACACATACGCTTGCTCAACACCCCCGCTCAAGTTACGGCCCAGTACAGCATTCGACACGCACACACTTGGCACCTCCCACCCTCCAGAACCGATCGCTGTAAAGACTCCCCACTGTACAAGTCCCTAGAATACTACAATGCCCTCCCTGCTAGCAGTCGTGACGTCTCCTCCCCACCTGCTTTCAAACAAGAAATCTGCTCACTGCTGATTAACTCAATCTGCTCCTGCAGCGCTCACCCTCTCCCATACTTGTAAAGTTCAAAGTGATGTAAATCACTTTCCAACTGTTTAACCCACAATCTCACCTTCTCATCAATTTATCTCTTATTGGCGATGGTGCCATCGTGAGAATAAAAAATTCAAACAAACAACAACAACAACAACAACAACAACAACAACAACAACAACAACAACAACAACAACAACAACAACAACAACAACAACAACAACAACAACAACAACAACAACAACAACAACAACAACAACAACAACAACAACAACAACAACAAGAGAACATACATGTAGGTGACTACAAACAAACAAAAACACAAACAAACAAAAATGCTCGGATATTGCCTGTTGCTTTACCTGACCAAGAGTAATGTTCACTAAATGAGTCCTTGTGGTGTGCGTGAGTGCCAGTAAGGAAGCAAGAATGTGTATTGGCATGCTAGTCTGCAAGGGGAACATGACAGGTAGCATCAAGAGTCCATAATCCCCCCGGAGTGCGCAACTTCACTTATCAGATCTGGGACGGCGAAATCCATGCTGTATGTCATAGTGTGACATCATAAGTAGGGGAAGTGTGGACCGCGTCGACGGAATGACACAAGTCCGCCCAAAACATGACGGAGAGTCAACTTCGCTAATAACAACTGCGGATATAACGACAAATCGCGAATAACGACAGAATTTCCACGCCCAGAGCAAAGTCCCATCCAACTGTAATACATATAATGAGACTTCGGGTATAACGCCACTTCCCGAATAAGGACACTTTTCTGATGCCTCGCAGAGTGTCGTTATACACGAAGTTGACTGCACATCACGGACTACGCCGTCCCACAATCCCATCCCAGTTGCGCACTCTGGGGGAGTGTGGACTCTTGGTAGCACCTATTGTGGGCGGTGTAGCTGTGGCCACACTAGTTTTTGACACAGTAACAACAGTCTCAAATGCCCACAAATGCGCTTGAGAGAGGGGCCATGTACAGTCTGACCTCGCTTAACCGCACACATCCGTTTTCCACAAAATATCCAGATAGGCGAGGGACCCGGATAATCGAACACACATACTGTATGTATGCATGACATATGCTGTAAATCGGTAACCGTCGATTTTCTCCCGGATGGCGAGGGATCCGGATAAAAGAGGACCTCCGGATAAAAGAGGACCGGATAAGCGAGGTCTGACTGTATTCAACACATTCAACAACACAGAGATTCTTTGGCACTTGAATCGTCACGGAGGCCCTGCATGGGTCTTGCTTTCCCAAGATACGGTATCACAGTCGATGGGCAGTTGAGTCGACGTGTATACATTGGTATGCTGTGCTTGGTGAAATTCTAGCCTGGTCGTTCTTCGGCACTCCGTTCTTTGGCGCTACCCGCCAGTACTGTACAAGTCATACTCTCGGGGTTTCCTTACGGATGGCACTGGAGGACCTGCCGGCGTCATCCGAAGGCTCCCAGTCTCCAACGATTGCACCCGGCAGCTCAGGAGGCTCCTTCTTCGGTCTACAGGGGGAAAGAGGAACACACAAAGAGACAATATTCCTGATCAGCGATAGAAAAAGCAATTACCGTATATACGCCACACCGGAGTATAAGCCACACCGGAGTATAAGCTACACTGGAGTATAAGCCACACTGGAGTATAAGCCACACTGGAGTATAAGCCACACTGGAGTATAAGCCGCACTGGAGTATAAGCCACACTGGAGTATAAGCCACACCGGAGTATAAGCCACACCGGAGTATAAGCCACACCGGAGTATAAGCCACACTGGAGAGTCAGCCGCACCCAGATGTTTTTGCCACGAAATACAGACATCGACTAGGCTTTTCCACATTACGCGAAAAAAAATCGGCAAGATGCGGATGCAAAACTCGATTTTTTCGGGGAGTGATGTTTTTGTCTCCAAAAAAATTTACAAGATGCAAAAGGACCCCATTTTAAATGCTTTGAGGCCTAAAATAGCTGAAAATACCCCCCAAAAATTGGAAGATGTTTTTTTCTGGGACGATGCGATTTTACCCCCAAGATGCAAAAAGATGCAAAACGTAATGTGGAAAAGCCTAACATCGACCCTGTACTAGTATTTCAGTTCATTTGACCTTCCTAGTACATGTCTACATCGCACTGACTGTTCTGTGGTGAAGAACGAGTGTGTACGCCAGTGTCCGGACAACTGGACCTCCAACTGGCAACGCCATGACGGCAGAAAAATGCAAATTGAAAAGCATTGGTACGAGAGTGTAGCCCTGACGCAAGCCATTCCTCACAGATATGTCGGGTCAGCTTGCCATCCACCCGAACAGAAGCAGTCATGCCGTTGTGGAGGGACTGGATGATGCGGAGGATTGCCGGTGGAATACCAAGCTTCCGGAGAACCTGCCACGAGCGCTGCACGCGGGATACTGTCAGAATACGGGCAAGCAGCTTGCCGACAACGTCCAAGAGACTGATGCCCCGCCAGTTACCACAGTGGTGTAGATCACCCTTCTTGGAGATGGGCACAACCACTGCATCACACCAATCATCGACTACAGTGCCTTCGAGCCAGGAGTTACGCATGATGGTCGGGATGCGACTGGGTAGGTCTTTGCCACCATGTAGGACCATGGCTGGTCGAATACCCGACTGACCGTCAGCTCTACCCGCTTTCATGGTCTGCTGTGCAGCCTCTAGCTCAGTAACAGTAGGTAGCTGGTCCAGCTCAGGAATAACAGGGCGATCCGCCATCATCTCGACCACAGCCGTGTCAAACTCACTCTCAACGTTCAGCACACCTTGAAAGTGCTGCAGCCATCTTCCACTGACAGCCTCAGGTCCATCACTCAACGTGCCATCTTCCAAATACACAGCAGACAGTTGCATTGGACGGTGGCCTCGATGGAGTGTCTCAACTTGCGGACTGCAGCCCTACGAACGGAACAATTGTTAGCAGCATTTTCAGCTTGGGATGCGATGTCTCCAATCCAAGTTTCCTTGGCACTCCTTACAGCCTTCCCCCCCTCACTCTTCTGCAACATGACATCTCAAACGGAATTCTTGATATCAATCAGCGGAAGAAGCACACACATACATACACACACACACACACACACGCACACACACACACACACACGCACACACACACACACACACACACACGCACACGCACACGCACACCCACACACACACACACACACACACACGCACACACACACACACACACACACACACACACACACACACACACACACACACACATACTCATACTTCGAAGTACTCATACTCCTGCCCATCGCTGAAGCGATGATAGCGCACAAGTTGCTATGTTAGACATAGCAACTTGTGCTGGCAGTACACCATTCAACAGGTTGCAAGGCTGATGAATTGTCCGCCACTAACTTTAGCCACACTTACACCCACCTACACACACAGTGACACACACCCACACACACATACACACACACACACACACACACACACACACACACACACACACACACACACGAATACCCCCCCCCCCCCCCCCACACACACACACAAAATAGCACTCACGGAATCTTATTACTAGCGGTGAAGCTAAGACTAGTCTGTAGCACGGCTCGTCGGATGCTGCCCCTGTCGAAAGCATTGCCGTCACCAAGCGCTGGCTTGTTGTTCCTGATTGATTTGCGCATACGACGAACGCTGACCCGAGCTGGCCCGATGCTCCGACTAGGCAGCACTCTCAGGATGCTGGTATTGACCGGGGCGGACTGAACGGAGGTACTCAGTGTATGGGAGTGCTCTCCCGCTTCACCGAACATAGAGTCGGGTCTTTTAGGCAAAGCCCGTTCTCTGAATTCTCCATTCCTGAACGCAGCCGTACTCGTGTACCTGGGAAATACTTCCATGTTCATGTTGCCTGCCGAGCGGGCGCTCGACCGTCACGCCAGCGTGTTTCCGTATACCTGCGGGTGGATACGTCGACAGTGCACTAAAGGAGAATCCACGAAGGGGCTTATCACCAGCAATCACAATATTCACCTTCCTGTCGCCTGAAAATAATTGCTTCCCTCGACTTGTCGAGGATTTTCACATCGCTTGTTTCGAAAGCTTCTCCTTTTCGAAATTTCTCTTCGAATGCAACTGTCTCCCCATCGTCACGACCGGGTCTGGCCATAAGCATGATCTTGCTGTCCATATAAAAACAACTTCATCCATTCTTGGGAGCTGCATAACTGGTGGGGTCCAAGTCCGAGCACATACGGTGGGTGTAGGAATACTGGGATGCCCGATTGAGCGAACTCGGTCGCCAGTTAGTTCCGTCAATACAATCCGTGCACGTGGATAGGTCCCTCTGCGGATCTAGAGATGTACCAGTCTGAGTCCCCATACTAGGCCATATGCGACATGCCCTCAACTGAGCTTGCCCCTTTCTGGCTGGGCAAGTAAATAGTTCACGGAGCATGAGTAGAGTCGGAGCCAAAGAAATCCGACCCCCGTTCCATTTTATTATTAATTTTTGAATACCATCATTCCCACAGGCACTAGGCTAGGCCACATGATGCACGCGCGCACGGTCCAAAAACCCTCCGAGGACCGACGAGGCGAGCTAGGGCTGGACGGATTTCTTTGGATGTAACGGTTACTGCAGATTTACCATGTTCGCTGATGTAGTGTAAGTAAGATCTATTTTTACAGTCGGCCGCCGCGGCGTGTAGATGATCTACGTTTTTCAACAAGACATCTCTTCTTGGTTTCACCATGTTCGCTAGTCACTCAAGCTGTGTTCGCTAGGCACTAAATCTTGCACACCTCCTATCGCAGCCTCCTACAGACTACAGTCCTAGTTCGGGTACAGTAGCTCGTACATGGTGCAGCAGAACTAAAAGTAGAAAGGAGAACTAGAAGTACAGGCGATAGTGTGTATTACTGCCTTGCCATGTTTGATTGATTGATTGATTGATTGTCATAATGAGCCCACTCAAGTCCAAGAAACTTTTTTTATTTTGGCAAACTGTTTGGGAGCCTATCCAGGGTAGGGACCGGCGAATTCTGCTCGAAAAGGTGGCAGATTCTGCTCGAAAAGCAGTAAAATTGGCAGAACCATACAAACCTTATGGCGGGCAATTCCTCGAATTCTGCTCCATTTCTTTATCCACATACCAAACACAACAGAACAACAAGGACAATCAAGGCTTGTTTGCTGCTACTTTTTAAAAGTTTCATGCTTACGCAATCATCAGGCAACATCCAACACCAAACATGCATGAAACTTACCAGAAAAAGTACCGAATTCTGCCAATTTTTTTCTGCCGGCAGAATCCGCTGGACCCTAATCCAGGGGCTTTCCTGTGGAGGAAGAAGAGGAAACTGGGTGTGAGTACATTACAGTCATGTACATACGTGTATAGTCTGGTCCACAACAGAGAGGATTCCCAGATTGCCGTTTAAAGGGCTCAACGCCACAAAGATGGAGCAATACAACAAAGGCAGAAGAGAACATTGACAACAGGCTGGGTTACTGTTGCAATGCTGCGTGTCACGCAGTTTGCACATCGCAAATCTCAGGCAATCCTCAGACAACTGATCGTCTGTACATCGTCTGGCTACAAACGTATTACTAGTATACCCAGGCAAGTAGCATAGTGTGACATTAGACTAGTGAGACATGGTGCGAATGGTGTCAATTTTACATGGGAGGCGAAAAGAAGGGAGGGGAGGAGAGGTGACAGCCAAGTTTCAGTTGGTTGTTTGGTTTATTTCAATTCCCTCAATAAACGGGAACTAGGCCCAATGATATGAAGGCGAATGGATAAGCCGAATTTTCAATGACGGAAGGTAGGCCCTGGTGGCGGCAGGCAGGTGACTAGTCACACCAGAAGATGATCTAGACTTCACCTTTTTATGTCACACTTTTATGTCACACTGTTGCCTGATGACTGCGTGACCATGAAACCTGAAGTAGCAGCAAACAAGCCTTGTTGTCCTTGTTGTTCTGTTCTGTATGTCACACTGCGGCCAAACCTCATCGCTGTATACCATATCAGCAAGAGTTCCCCCAAGGGAGCATACTCGGCCCTACACTCTTCCTGATTTACGTGAACGACGCCTCAGAGACCCTGTCACCCGGAGCCCACCTGGAGGCGTACGCCGACGATACTACCTTGTATAGCCTGATATCCCTCGACACATCCCCCAGCCGACGCAGCATTGAGCCTCCAGACTTCTGTTGATCGCTTGCATCAGTGGGGCCGCATGTAACAGTATAGACTTGATTGATTGGAGAATTCCCCGAATGATGTTCAAACCAGAGGTTATAAAGCAAAAGAAAGGCGAGAACCGCAGGAGTGAGAATAGTAGGAACACAAGGTGTTACCATAAGACAAGCAAGGAGTGTCAAGGTAAAACTATTACACTCTCCCGGCCCCATAGGAAGCCCAAGGTTCTATTAGATAACACAATCCAGTTAGGAGATGCAATTGTGGAAAGGGGAATACGAGAGAGCTTGGAAGCTCAGGGCCCTACGCTATGCTTTTTTGCCTAGCTCATCGTACATGTTATAAGAACTCATGGAAATGTTTTTTTTTCCGTTGATTGGCCACATCATTGTATTGCAAAAACGTTTCAATCAGTTTGAATATTATGAGTTAGGCAAAAGTATTTGCAGAATTTATTGCAGATTGTCATTTCTTTAATATCATCTACTTTTGGTTTACTCCTTCTTCTCTTTTTATCTCCTTATATTGTAAATCAACAAATTTTGGCCGATGAGAAACTTTGGCCGATGAGAAACGAAACTTTTCGCCGTCATTAAACTTTGGCCGATTGGAGTTTTCATAAAGAAATCGATCGGTACTTTTGCTCTCACATGCATCCATTGCTCAATCATGCATCATTATTTTGCCTCTGTGACAAACTTTGGCCTGCGATTTACTTTGGCCGGTTGGTACCAAGCGGCGAAATCAGCGAAATAAAATCGCCAGCGAAAATTAGTTGATTTTAATACAGTAATCGGATTTTCTGGCCTTTTTGTAGTAATACATGTACATTGACCTGTTGAGCCAATGACGACGCCGAATGCATGGTTGCCTGTGGAGCACATTACATAACTTTACAGTCTCCTAAAATACGTATCCTGTCCGACGGCAAAAGAGGCTGCAGATTTAGTTTTTCTGCGCGTCGACGGGATGTCTGTCCTGACGTTTCCTGGGACCGGCGCTGACTCTGCCGATCACGGGCATTCTGGACTCGACGGGTTGTCTGTCCTGACGATTCCGGGGACCGGCTTAGACTCTGCCGATCACGGGCGTTCTGGACTCGACGGGATCTCTCTTCCGACGTTTCCTGTGACCGGCGCTGAATCGCTCGTTCACGCTTATTTTGGAGACGACGGGATCTCTCTTCAAAAGTATGTTTATGCTCACGCATCCTATCACCTATTCGGCGTCTATTCTAATTTAATTTCCTCCTCGTCTCCCTATTTCTTTCCAAATCTCCCTCTACATCAGGAAGTCGTACACATAATACGACGAATATTGGTACGGTACGGGACAGATACAGGAGCCGGTACATATTGTGGACAGCTGTTATGTACAATCCTGTAGAGCCTTTGTAGTCACAGATACGGGACAGATACGGGACAGATACGGGACAGATACGGGATAGCTCCAGGCGTGACACAAACAAACAAACACACAAACAAACACCAAATTAAAGCTGTGTGGACCCTGGCTAGCGCCAGACGTTACTGAAGTAACGTCTTCTGCATAGCTACGGGAATTAAATAATCACTCATGCACATGCATAACCACATTGAAGTGTAATCCAACTCAACTCCATCACTCTCACAAGGAGATGACGCAAAACTATATCAGTCTATAACATATTATTAACTATCTCAGTAAGAGATGCATATGGCTCAGCCCAGTTAGATCAAGGCTGCTGTCGTTGTGAGGCTAGATAGTTCTGCAGCGGTTTAATATTCCGACCAGACTCATCACATAGGTTGCCAGCGGGCTCCCACGTAGCTTCGCTGCTGGGGTAACCCTTCCAATGCACCAGGAAGTGTTGCTCACCACTGCGGTGTCGGTGATTCAAAACGGCTTCGACAACATAGCGTGTGTGTCCATCTAGATCTGTGAAGGGCGGAGGCGGGGGTTGGTGTCTTCCAGGAATCGTGTTCTCTTCGTAGCGTTTAAGAGCAGTGACATTAAACACGGGATGGCAGCGAAGTTCACGGGGTAGTTCCAAGCGAAAAGCATTCGCTCCAATCTTAGCCTGGATACGATACGGACCAAATCACTTGGGTTGCAACTTCCGAGAGGGCTGGCCACGAGCTTCCGGAGTCAGTAGAAAGTCTCTGTAGACAAGAACGCTATCACCAACCTTCAAATCACTGGGCGTTCTCGTCTGGTCTGCGTATAGAGCTTGCCTTACCTGGGCGTCGAGCATTGCATCTCGAGCTATCCTTAGTGCGGCTTCCTGCTCATGAAGCCAATCGACCGAATCACTCCTTTCCCCTCCCGTAAGAATGAATTCGGGCGGGGACTTAGGGTCAAACCCATAGTTCAGATAAAACGGTGTATTAGCTACAGATGACTGTTGTGAACTATTAATTGCAAACTCGCAGAGTGGTAGAAGCGAATCCCAATTGTCCTGTCTCAAGTTCACAAATGCTCTTAGAACATCTCCCACTTGCCGGTTAACTCTCTCTGTCAAACCATCCGTTTGAGGGTGGTTAGCAGTGCTGAATGCCAATTTAGTTCCTAGCTGAGAGAATACGTCTTTGAAAAAAGCTGCAGTGAATCGTGGATCGCGATCGGAAACAATGGTCGATCTCAGCCCGTGCAGACGAAACACGTTTTGAATGTACAGTTGAGCGCTGCCCTTAGCATCAATCTTCGAGTTTGTTGGAACAAGATGTACGCATTTCGTAAGTCGGTCCACAAAGGTGTAAATTGCGTCGAAGCCACGAGAAGTAAGGGGCAATCCAACAATAAAATCCATTGAGATATCCTGACAAGGACTATTAGGTATTGGAAGTGACTGGAGAAGCCCTGTTCGTGGCTGACCTCCCTTCGTTCGCTGGCAGAGATCACAGGTTTTGACAAATCTCTTGATATCGAGACCCATTCGGGGCCAGTAGAAAAAACGTGCTAGGCGGAAGTACGTTCGATCACGACCCGGGTGGCCAGCCGTTGCACACTCATGGTGTTCTTGAATGAGCTTTAACCGGACACCGCACTGTGGTATGCACAACCGGTTATTGGGGGATGCCTTGAGATACAAGCGATCAGTGGATTCGTCCCAATAATAGCGATCATGCAAATTATCTCGGAGAGAATGCTTCAATCTTTCTATGATGGGAGTTAGCTCTTTGTCTCTCTGGTAGGCATCTGATATTATATTGGACACGTCATCATTCATTGCTAAAGCATACTCAATAGCATTCAAACGTGGTACTGCATTCTCCACGAGGTTACTCTCATGGAGATCTGGGCGACGCGAAAGGGGATCTGCAGGGTTCTCTCTGCCGGGTCTGTGACGGACTGTGTAGTCATAGTCAGCTAGGAATTCAACCCATTGCGCCTCTCTCTTTGTAATGCTTGGTTTTGTTTTCAGATAAACTACCGCCATGTTGTCTGTAATGACCTCAAAGTGTTGAAAGAGGTAGATGCGCCAGGTCTTTAGCGCAAACACTACGGCCAATGTTTCTCTTTCTGTAGCTGTATAATTCTGTTCAGCAGCAGACAATTTTCGGCTAGCATAAGCCACTGGATGCCAGGCATCTTCCTCTAGTTCTTGGAGAAGAACACATCCCAAGGCGAAATCGCTTGCATCTGTTACCACTCTGAATGGTCGGTTCACATCAGCCAGCCGCAATAGGGGCGCATTCAACAAGGCATGCTTTAGCGATTCAAAGGCATGTTGCCGAGAGCTATTTCACTCGAATCGTGCATGTTTTCCCGTTATCTCCTCTAAGTTCTTAGAGAGCGATGAGTATTGATCTATGAATCGCCTAAAATAATTCGTAAATCCAAGAAATTGCCTCACCTCTGTGACGGAAGTCGGAGCGGGCCAGACCTTTACTGCGGCAATCTTGTCTGGGTCAGGGCGATGTGCAGTCCATCGATGCAATGTCCCAGGAACCGCACACTCTCCACGCCAAATTCACATTTTGACCGTTTGCAAAATAACTGGTTGTCCCGGAGCACGCTCAATACCGACCGGACATGCTGCATATGCTCCGACCACGTTTTGCTGAAGATGAGTATGTCATCTAGGAACACGACTACGAACTCCCTCAGATATGGTTGAAGAATCGTATTCATCATGGATTGAAATGTTGCCGGTGCATTGGTGAGACCAAATCCCATGACCCTAAATTGGTAATGCCCAAAGGGAGTGTTAACCGCGGTTTTGGGCACGTCCTCAGCTTGAATGCGTATCTGATTATACCCTGATCGGAGGTCTAGTTTCGTGAAGTACCTAGCGCCCTGTACGGTATCGAATAAATCATCCACATTGGGCAAGCACGCCTTGTTCTTAACAGTTATCTTGTTTAGCTCCCTCCAATCACAGACCATGCGTAACGAACCATCAGCTTTCTTGACAAAAAACACCGGTGCACCAAAGGGGGACTTACTTGGTTCTACGAAACCCTTTTTCAAGAGTTCTGTGAGCTGTTTCTTCAATTCCTCCATTTCTGGCCTGGGCAGGCGATAGGCAGGTCGCGGTGGGGGTGATGAGCCTTCGGAATTCCTCCAGGCGGATTTCGTGGTCTACAGACCTCTTTGGTGGGAGTCTAGCTGGCAGATCATCCGGGAAAAGATCGTCATAGTCACGGAACATGGCCTTGAGATCTGGGTGCTCGTTCTGAGTGGATTTGTCGGGAGGTTCCTTGCCAATGCCGTCTTCTACGCTGACCCACGCCAGAACACCTTCGTCTCCACTCCTAAGAGCATGCCTAGCCTGACGACCAGATATGAACATCGCCTCCACAGGAGCGGTCGGTTCGCTTTGACTGGGCGACGCACAAGGCAAACCATTCGAGTTCAACCTGACTTCATTCGTCCGGAAGTTTATGTCTGGATTGTTACGCGTTAACAAAGGTTTCCCCAATATAGCGTCATAGCGATAAAGGGGGAACACCGTGAAGGTTTGGTTATCGCTGAAGTCGCCTACGATAACCTTCAATTCATGGGTCGTCTCCATGGGAAACGACAGATGAATTCAAGCGAGATGTTACACCAACTATTGAGGCCCAGGTTACCAGCGTCAATGTGGAAACGGAACATGAGCTCCTGCGTGTAGAAGGCAAAATCAACGGTCGTCGCGCGCTTATGTTAATAGATTCGGGCTCGACCCATGATTTCATTGCCGAACAGTTTGCCAGGAGAGTTAACCTGCCAACCGAAATTGACTCGGAAAACCTGAATGTCACGCTGGCTGATGGAGCATCAAGCTCGTTTCCCATGGAGACGACCCATGAATTGAAGGTTATCGTAGGCGACTTCAGCGATAACCAAACCGTCACAGTGCCCAGGCCAGAAATGGAGGAATTGAAGAAACAGCTCACAGAACTCTTGAAAAAGGGTTTCGTAGAACCAAGTAAGTCCCCCTTTGGTGCACCGGTGTAGTGAGGGCGCTGGCCATGGTCATGCCGACACCGGATTTCAATATTCACGACAGTACAATACCGGTAGTGTACTGCTCCCTGTTTAGAATCAATTAGTGTGAGACGGTGTGTGTGTGGGTGAGTGCACATGTGGGGGTGTTTTGAGTGTGCGTATTCATGTTTCACCATATGCACCCAGCACCTAAGACGGCAACGTCTGTAGGGCTTTCCCTATCAAAAATAATAAATTCTACTACTACTACTACCTAGTACATGTAGATCTACCTTCCTTGAGCCAAGTAAGTTGAGGTGTTGGTTCTGGCACGTCAGAGCGCCTCTGGGAGGTGTTGATTATTATTGTCTGCACTGGATTATTCTATCTCCTCCGCTTGCCTTCATATACCTGCGCTATTTTCTAATCTTCTTATGTTGTCTGATGATTGGTTTTTGCCATGAAACTCTGAGTAACAACGAAACAGCCCTATTTTACTTCCTTTTGTGTACCTCTTGAGTAAAATTTAGTTTTTTTTATTCCGGTACATGACATTGTATCGGAGAGTTTTGTTCTCTAAATGGATCTTGGTTTGGAGAAAGGACATAAGGACATACAGAGATTATGATGTCTTGGCATTTTCATTGACTCTAACCTTTCATGGGAACCCCACATCGATTACATATGTAAACGATCAAGTTCATCTTTAGGAATCCTCTCTTCTCACTGTTACCATCTCCCAATCTCTTGTAAACCCCTCTTCTACTCAGCTTACCTACGCCCCATTTTTGATTATGCAGATACTGCTTGGGCTGGAACTTCCACAACCCGTGCTGCCAAGCTCGAAATTCACCACAAAAAGTTCTCAAAATCCTCCTCCGAAAACCCCGCATGCTCCCATCTTCCACCCTTTATGCCCTTGCTGACACTAGTACCCCTTTGTCTAAGAGACGTAATTCACAGGCCTTTATCCATTCTCTCAAACTCAATCTGTGTCCACCTCACCTCCACTGTTTCAACTGGTTCTCTTCCCGTAGCACGAGAAACTCCCTTTCCCTTCCGAAACCTAAGTCCTCCTTTCTACTTCACTCTCCCTTTTTCACTGCGTACTCTGCGTGGCTGGCACTTCCCCAAGAAGCTAAGGACCTTTCTTCCCTCCGCCTTTTTAAGAGCCTTGTCGCACCTTGACTTTGAATTTGTGTTTCTCATTTTGTTGCAATCACTGCTTATCCATGCCGGTTCCTTTTTTTCTTCTCCTCCCCTTCTCCCTTCCTTGCCGTGGTTGGCTAACACCCTCTCTCTTTGTATTGGCCGGTGTTCTCACTGTGCTATGAGATGCTGTAATAAATAAGTAATAAATAAAATTAATGATACTCATCATGGCTCCAGACCACAACTAGCACAAGCGCAGCCCGCGAGCGTGCACAGACTCAGTTTACGAGTCAGTAGTCACCTGGTCACTGTTAGTATACTGTGTTTAGTGTGTTATGTCTCCAGACTCTAGAGTCGTAGATGATGTACTAGATCTACGCATGGAGCAGAACGTGATCATGGTCACGTGGATTGAGCAACTCTTCTGCCGAAGTAAGTTCTGGGTTGACGAGCACCACCTGTATTTTTGACATACCACACTCGAAGGCCGCCCGTACATAATAACATAGCCATAGGACTCCAAGTCCAAGAGTCAAGACTGACATGACCAAGGCCAAGGGCTACTTCAGTACTTGTGGGAGTTCGTCTTTCAAGTCGCACGGTTCCAGAAATTTCTCTGTCACTTCCCAGGCGTGATCGTGCATGCTGCTACTCTTCTTGTTGTGAGAACTGAGAGCTCCTAAGTATCATGAGTATGCCTATGCATTATGTATGCCGCTATGGCCTAGCGTCTTGCGGGCTCCAGCCTCTACGCGCGTAGATCTACGCGGCGCGCGCTAGGGCTAGGCGCTAGGCCTGGTGCACGTGGTAGGTCTACACAGGTCCCACGTGTCCCGAGCTAGCTTTCTGTCCAAAAATGATTCCAGAATCATCCAGCGATCCCGTAGCACCTGGTTTTCTGTTTTGTTTTCAAAGTACAGTACAATCAGTTTGTACGAGTGTTCTTTATTTTGTTGCAGTTGCATTGGTATTGTTGTTCTGCGACCTGGAGTAAAATCAATCATCCACTGCACTGGCTGTCTAGTAAATAGTCGTAATGGAGATCTCGATCGCTCAGGAGTATGGCTACGTCGTACTGACCAGCCTGCTGGGATCCCTGCTCGTCAACTTCTTCTTGATCTACAACGTTGTCGCAGCCAGAAAGAAGTACGATGTCAAGGTACATCAAGTTGTTGTTGCACTGTGCTGCATACAGCAGGGAGGCTAATTTTTGGAGGAAAGACAATCTGTGACACCATGCGCATCCCACAACTAGCACTTGCACAAGTGATTGCAGTGTTGTTCTGGAGGATCGTAGGGGGCGCAGTAGGGGGGGGGGGGGGGGGGGCAGCTCCCCCCCCCCCTGTGAATAATAATTATTTGGCTCCCTACAAGGCCCTCAACTCTTTTGTCGATTTTTGTGTGTTTTTTTCAGACCATTCAACAAAATGCCATCGATACATGTAGTCACATACAGAGGGTTTATTTATAAAGGCTCACTTCACTTGTCTGGGGTAAATTCGGGGGGGGGGGGGGGGGGGTCGCCCGTGGTGTTTTCATTCAAGGCGTGTGTGTGTATGTGTGTGTGTGTGTGTGTGTGTCTGTGTGTATGTACCGTAAAATCCCGCCAGAGCGCCCCTACCTCCTCGACGCTTCGTTGGGGAGGGGCGGATGGACGAGTCCTACTTGCCGCATTCAGTACTACATGAAAAAGTACTCACCCTACGAAAACTGTTCGTACATCTCGTACACGACCAAAGGTCGAGAGCTAGGAGTCGTACAGACCCGTCAAAAGGGTTTGTGCGATCCCTGGTCAGGAGAGTGGGCACTGTTGCGTACGTTTACAACCGGACCGAGCACCCCTCTGCAGTACAGTACGGCATCACAGACTGTGACAGAGTCATACGAGGATACAATCAATCTTCCCTGACAAGAAGTCAGGGAGGGGCGGATGGGAGAGGCGGGGCGCTCTGGCGGGATTTTACGGTATGCGTGTGTGAGTGTGGGTGTGTCATGTATATGTTTGTGCGTGTATGTGTCTGTGTGTGCGTGCATGCATGTGTCTGTGTGTGTGTGTGTGCATGTGTATGTGCCTGTGTGTGTGTGTGTGTGCATGTGTCTGTGCGTATATGTGTTCTGTGCAGTACCCGGCACTCTACTCGCCTACGAATGAGAACTTCAACTGTGTCCAACGTGCTCATCAGAACTAGTGAGTTTGCACCAAGGAGTAGAGACCAGAACAACAAAGACAATCAAGGCTTGTTTGCTGCTACTTCAAGTTTCATGCTGTCACAATTATTATTATTATTATTATTATTATTATAAGTGTTGAAGCAAGGTGTCAGGACGTCGAATGTCTCAGTACTCTGTCAGTTGTGTGCCTAGTTATTGCACTTTCTGACTGTATAAAGTATCATGTTACAGTGATGGAGAGTTACTCTTAACTCGTATCCATAATGTCTTTTTTTTCCTTTCTACATTTATTTATGGCTCAACATCCGAGTTTCAAATTATTATTATTATTAAATTTTTGACAGGGCAATCCCCACAGGCCTAAGGCCTTCTTACAGGGTACCCTAAATGTGCCAATACAAGGTTAGGGAAGCGAGAAACAGATGTGCATAGGCGAATGTCAGCAGGTAGAGAGTTCCAACGATCTGAGTCTAGAAAACTAAGAGAAAAAAGACCATACCGATTTAAAGCAGGGGGAAGAGCAAGGGATGCAGAAACTTGAGAGCGTGTACAGGATTTTGTATGTGACGATGCACTGCGCAACGAAAACAACTAGAGAGTAGGGGGCTTGCGACAATCATCAGGCAACACCAGGGAGTAGTAAAATACCGGCCTGAACTCGACCGAATGTGGCTGATTCCTCTGCGTGTGTGTGCGTGTGTGTGCGTGTACATGCATGTGTGTGTTTTCACAGTCTGGAGAATTTGACTTTCTTCCTAGTTTCTGGTCTGGTAGCAGGAGTTGTACACCCGGTAAGTCTGCCACATCATGATGCTACATAATCATACCTCGTACCCTCTGTTCAGAAAGGAAAGATGGACCTTGGAGATTGAAAAACCAAATCGACATCGAAAATGCGGGCAGGTCTTCATTATCCTGTTTTTGAGCTGCCGCTTTGTACATTGTGATGTGTAAAACCCGCCCATATTAGGGGAAACCTGGCCAAAACGCAACAGTACTCTCTGGTGCCGAAGAACTGAGGGTTCAAAGTCGTAGCCTCGGCCGTTCTTGTCTTTCATGTGTAACTATCTATACAGTTGAGCCGCAGTGTACGGTATCCTGCAGCTGGTAAATTTCTAACCTGTTCGTTTTTCGGCGCATCGTTCCGCTGTTCTGGACGTTTCCCCTTCATCTGACCTCACGATTATGTACAGGACCCGCTGTAGAGGGTCTCAATCATGTGCATGACCGCGTGGCCCAATGGATACGGCGTCTGACTTCGAATCAGAAGATTGTGGGTTCGAGTCCCATCGTGGTCGGTAACTTTTTTTTTCTTCTACATCCAACAAAACAAAAGGGAAATGGGGATGACATGCCGAATAGCGTAACTGCATTACATGTAGACTATTGGAAGTGCTTCCTCAGATTTTGTGTATACTCTAATTTCAGAAATTTTAGGTGCTCAATATTTTCGGTACGAGGGCAAAAGACCGGGTTAAAAAAAGAAATAAAGTTAGCGGGATTCGCGGCCGCATCACCTGACGTGTTTAGGAACACATCAAGCAAATACGTTCGCATCGGCGGGCCACCACTTCGCCCATATATCCTTAGTGTCGAATGCAGACCTCACAAGTGAGTCAGGGGAGAGGGGATAAGTCTCTCACCAAGCTGGCGTGTAAAGGCCCTGTAACCCCATAAAAGGCCGGGTTAGGTGAACAGAAAATTTAGCTTCAGAGAAGCAGATCCCTATTATTAGTATTGGGTTATGTGTAGGGCTGAGGAGAATTAGCGTGTGTTCGGTGTATTGAAATTTTAGGTATGAAACCGACGCACCGAAAGGACTGAAAATAAAAATACACCGAAAATTTGTGAAATTACAGTATCCAATATTTCCCTGAAACTAGAGCAATGGAGCAAAAAAAAGAGAGATGTCCTTGTTTACAGGAGCTTTCCTGTGTTGCACTGTGCACTGCAGGGGGACTTCAAAAAATTGTAATTATTACTGAGGCACTATTTATCTGGGGCCGAATGGCTGGAAATGGGTAGACTTGCTCCTCAAAGCTGACGTAATGTGTGCATGCCCCCCTTTCCCCCACCCAAACTTGGGCGTACACTGTTTGTACATGTTCTGCGGTAGGGAAAGAGACGGTTGTTGACATTTATTTTTCTTCACCACTGGCACAGGCAATATCTGCCTTCTCACTGGGCGTATTGCCACAGTTCTCGCATAATGATCATAGGCTAGACAAGCTTGCTGGAGCAACAATTGGCGAGAGACTCTTGTGTGTGTTTGTGTGTGTGTGGTTGCGGGTTCGATTCCCAACGATTATGGTCATACACGTCTTTCTTCTCTTTCTCAGACCCCCCTGACTTTTCTTTCATTCTCCTGGGTGGTTGCCAACAGCCAGTGCATGCTGGAGTATGTGGTGTGATGTGTGTGCGGGGAAAAAAATGAAAAAGACCAAAAAGTAGGGATTCACTGGCCAGAAAAACCCACTTCATAGCTGTGTGGTGTAGACCAGGCTGAGTAGTGGCGGTCAATTCTTCAGCCTTGCAAGCTGTTGAATGGTGCAATCCCAGCACAAGTTGCTATGGCTTCTGTTGTAGCATCGCTATCATCGCCTCCGCGTCAAATGGTGTGTGTGTGTTCATGTTCTTGTAGATCCCTGCCACCGCATGTAACGTCATCTACCTGATTGGACGCATTGTCTACGCTCTGGGTTACTATACCGGGGGTAAGAGCTAGTCTATGTTTGATTTTTTTGCTCCAGGACCACTACATTCTAGGACCACTACAGTTTCTAGTGTTCTAACAACTGACACATTACTGGGGGGGAGCTTCACATTGATGCTCTGTTTGTACAGTCGTGGCCAAAGAAATTCGACCCACAAGTCGAAAGCAGTGCCGTGTTTCCATTTCAATTGCATCATGCACGGTCCGAAAACCCATCCGAGGGCCACAGGCCACAGCCTTGGCACTGCTTTCGGCTCGTGGGTCGGATTTGTTTGGCCGTCACTGTACAAACACCCCAATACTGTAGTAGCAATACCGCCTCAATACAGAGCTTGAAATGTTTGATATGACCACCGCAGGGAGTCATTCTGATACTCTCATAGTCGTATTCCAGCTGCAACATCTTTTTCAACATGTGAGCATTGGTGGTTCAGTGGTAGAATCCTCGCCTGCCACGCGGGGGGCCCAGGTTCGATTCCCGGCCAATGCATTTTTATTTTATTTTTTTTGTTGAAAGTTGGCGTGGTGTGTTTGATTGATGGATTTTGTCGAAAGTTGAGTTTGCAACTGGCGCTGTATGCTGTTTATTTGTGTTCCATGCGTTCTCAGACGTGCTTTCGCGTCTCACAGAAAACAGCAAATCATAATGGTTGTTAGGTTGTGTGACATCATCAAGTTCTTTTTGTTTGAACCAAACAGTTAAAGAGCCTGGAATGTACTCCAGTACGCAGCTGAACCAAGTTCCGTGTCGCAATTTATTTATATTTCAACGTGTTTCAATACGCATGACGCCCCACAAGCCAGCAAAATGCGCACGAATGTGTGCACCCTGACGTGCCAGTTACGAGCACGGCGTTTAAAAGGGTGTGTTTGGTTGGCCTGACCTGGATCAAGATAGTGCAGAGCAGGGATGTTTGGTTGTTCTGCACTGATTCTGAGAGTGCTCAGAGCAGTTTGAACGCTCAGAACAGCTGGAGCAAGTGGCAAAACCCAGTGAAAATTGCTCTGAGCACTCTCAGAACTGTTTCTGCCAATATAAAAATAAAAAAAATTCGACGGGTTCACGTACCGGGCAGGTGAAGAACAAGGAGTCGTACGACTCCCTGGTCAAGAACCACCTTTCCGCTTCCGTGGGATGCCACCACCCCATATCTGCCAATATGATATTCGTTTATGTTTCATGAGGAGTCGCTGTTCGTACTACTCGAATGTGATCCGAATGCAGACTGGCCATTCAAATGTATTTCCCTAAGTTTTGGCCACAGGTTGTGAGAGCCTATCAGGAGACACTCCCGTGCGAGTTGTAGGAAATGCTTATGCATGTCCCCTGATGCACTGCATTGCCTTTCCCCTGTGTCTCTCTTTTTCTCCTTTTCACTCTCTCTCTCTCCCTCTCGTTCTCTCTCTCTCTCTCTCTTCACTAGACCCGGAGAAAAGGAGCAGGGGAGGTTTCTACATCCTCGGCTTCTTGGGCAATATGCTGCTGGCCTCGCACGCCGGCCTGCGCTTTGCTGGACTTATGTAACACGCATAGGTGCGACCTCGTCAGCCGCCAACACCACCAGCATCACCAGAATCACCATGAGGCCACTACGTCTTGTGCTGTACATTGTGTCAAGCGCGTCGAAAGATGGTGAGAGCCCTACGCTGCTGGCTACCGGCTGGTGTCATTCCACGAGTCACTGACCACCTGGACTGGACACGTTGTAAGGCCCTGCTGTGCTTCACGATTGAGATGGCGTGCTACTGGTGGTGGCGGCGTGTCAGTTATTCCACTAATACTCCGTTTTCTCTGTTATTGTCCCCGTCGATTATGGCAGCAGGTTGATGTTCGTTCTCTGTTAGTGCCTAGCTGCTTTGCTGGTTGGTCTTATTACACGTTGTGTTGAGTTGCTTAGGTTGACGTTACGAAGTGCCCTTGGGTGTTGTGTTGCTTAGGTTGGCGTTACGGAGCACCCTTGGGTGTTGTGTTGCTTGGGTTGACGTTACGGAGCACCCTTGGATGTGCCATGCCCTGCTGCATGTTCGCTATTCACACGTCTAGCTGTCTGTGTCTCCATTTCGGTTTGTTTTCTGGCAGTGAGTCGTTGCTCTCCAGTGTCTCCAGTGCCTCTGCCTTTGCTGTCGCGTTTGTGCTTCTGTAGCTGCTCTGCGCTAGCGCGCGTGTGTGTGCGTGCGTCCGGTGTTTGCTCCTCCGCATTTATCAATAGGTTTTTAACATTGTTTTTTTCTTTCTTTTCAACTTTCGATCGTGTGATAGCTCCTGCATAGGACATTATAGCGGTATTTGGTGCTTGATGGCAGACGACTACGATAACACCAGTCTTTGGTCAGGATCTGCATGTGCTTGCGTGAACGCTGGTGTATGTGTGTATGTGGGGGGGGGGGGGGGCGCAATGGGGGTTTTCATGTGCATTTGTGTGCTATCCGAATGCTGATCAATTTACTTTGAGGTAGCATTAACACCCAGGTGGGCACTGCGCGTCTGCCTGTTTCTTGTGTACCAGGGCTGCACTCTTCTGGCGACCAGGATGGTGTTATGTATATGCTAGTAGCTAGTGGGCAGTGTATTGTTGTTATTATTATTATTACGAAGTAGTGGTTGTGACTTCGGCGATGATTTGTAAGAAAGGGTGTGGGGAGCAAACCCTTTGTTATTATTATTATTATTATTATTTATTAAATTTTGAATACGGCATTCCCACAGGCTTTTATACGGGGTACCCTATATGTTTTTGTATGGATTGTTATTGTAATTTATTAGACACTGTGTATATTTGATCTCGGTTCTTTCGACACTGTCACGACATTCGTATCGCAACCGGCACAACTAAGAGAAGTCACAGTTCCTACAGCCAACAGGGAAAATTGGGTACAGCCGAAAGCGTAAAATTCTGACTGGGGCCACCGGCATTGCTGCCCGACTGGTATGTACATGTAGAACGCGAACTGTTCTATTCATTGGGGGTGCATTTCCGGTGTCTCGGTTATGCAGCATCCCGTGTTCAAAACATAATTATACAGTACTGTGTACTCTTGTATGCAGGGAAAAAAGAAAAGAGAGAATTGCAAATTAATTGTAGACAGGAAATACAAAAATAATGGTATGACCTAATAGACAACTATTCTGCTGTAAAGCAGTCTTTGGACTCAACGCAGGTCAGTACTGAAGTCTGAAGTAGGCTGCCTCGGAGTCTCCCCCACTGGGCCCTAGTCCCTGGACCTTGTCTCAATGGATCGAACCAGAATCACCAGATCTTCTGATCACTGACCTTGACTTGTGGGCCTTCTCACTTGTATTTTGTTGTAAGTAGTTACGTGCCATTACTGTATCAAGAGTACATAACCCCAACTTAGAGTGTGCAACTGCCTGCATGCACAACCTCTATGCTGTGCTGCGACGGCAGAACTACATTTGTAACGTACGAGTACTCTTGACTGTATGTAGGCTTTGGACACTGTTTGGTGTACTGCATGCAAGCGTCGCTATGGCGAAAATGGCGGAAAAAGTGACCCAAACAGAAAAATTAATACAAAAAAGCTTGAAACTCGAAAAAAAGTCATTGAGGGAAATTAAAATTTTATGAAATATTTTGGAGTCGAATGGAACAAGTCCTGAGTCAACTGCTGCTTTGATCTCTTCTTCCTCAGATCTCTGTGTCTGTCGCTCAGCTATCATGCTGGCACAGGCAAGATGTGCATTGCCTCGCCTGTCAGCTGCCTCTAGCTTGCTACGCGGCAGCGCGAGGAGAGGCATATTTTGTTCACAGGCCTCCCGATGCGAGGACAAGAACGTCCCCAGCGGCCTGGGCGAAACTGCCAAGTTTATGCTACAGGAGATGAGAGGAGCGACGCACAAGCAGCGAGTAGAGCAACTGGCCATGGCGAGAACCATGAATGCTGACGTAATGAGCGAGTACGATAAAACGGTTGTGATCGGCCAGATCCTGACCGTACTGAAACACAATTTCTCTTTCGACAGCCTGGATGCGCTGGAGAAAAATGCGCCGGCACTGTTCGCAGCACGTGACAATTGCAGGGACGGTCTGCGCTCGTACATCGAGGCCGGCCTGGAGCGGATCGCGGCCCTGGAGACAAGCCGTCGACCCGTTGTGCGCGTGATGCAGCTGTACGCCATGCTGGAGATGCCGTCAAAAGCGGCCACCGCGCTGCTACTGCCGATGTGCGGAGAGCTGGCAGAAGGTCTGGCACGGCTGCCGGCAGATGCCGTTCTAGTGCGACAATGCATACGCTTCCTGGTATCGATGACGTACAGCGGCACCAAGGACTCGGATTCGGAGGCTCTCGCGCCGCTTGTCGAGGCGGCCATCAAGAAGATCGGAGAGGGCCTGGATCAGTTGCCACTGCCGACACCACGCGAGATCGACATTGAGTCGAAGTTCGCGACATCCATCGTGGCATTTGCCGTTCGAGATCCGCCGGGTCTGGAGAATCTCGCGCGCTACCTGGAGCGTTGCGTCGACAAGGACTCGTTCACCAGTATCATTCAAGTGGCGCGCTTCACGCACTGCCTGAGCACGATGCGCATCCCGGCGGGCCCGCTGTTCCTGAAGCTCGGCCGCTTCTACCACAGCCGTCGGTGCCACTGGCAGCTGCGCACCGGTGTGCTGGAGTACGTCATGTTCAACTGGGCGTTCCTGGCACAGGGCATGCAGCCACCGCTGCGCAGCGCCCAGGAGCTGTGCCGACTGCTGGAGGACACCGTGCGCAATGAGAAGGCCCTGCCGAAGCGCTGCCTGGTGGAGCTGGTGCAGCTACTGCCACACCTGCCCGCGCAGGTGAGCGGCCTGCGCGAGATACTGGACAACGAGCTGGTGAGAAAGTACCACGAGGCGCGCAAGCTGGGCAAGATCCTGCTGATGGCGCAGAACGAGCTGCGCGTCAACCAGGTAACCGAGTGGGGATTCGTGTGCGCCGCCGGTCTCGTTCACGACTCCTCGTCGCCCAGCTTTAAGCCATGGCCGGAGCACGTCAAGGTGAACATGATACGGCAGGGCGACTACCATCGGCTCAGCGCCCAGCCTGTAGCACTGATGCTTCTCAGCAAGAAGCACATTCTCAGCGAGCCGCCGGGAGCGTTGAGCGGACTGCTGGAGAGGCAGCGGCGACTCTTGACGCAGAACGGCTGGGCTGTGACCATGGTGCTGTTGACCGACGTTCTGGCCAGGAAGAAGAGCGGCGACGACATCTCCGACTGGTGCCTCGGCCTGATGCTGGATGCCGGTGCAGCGGCACTCGATAAGATCAGGGCGAGAGAGGTACGGAAAGCAAGCAAGAACGGCGAGGAGGACGAGGAAGACGCGGGAGAAGAGGAGATGGTGTCAGACGGAACACACGGAAGTGCACAGTGATGTTTCCGGTATGAG